GTCCCGTGCACACAGCATCTGCCCCGCCCCTGATTCCGCCACACCGACGTCACTCCTTTGTGCCCAAGCGCCCGCGCGCGCGCCTGCCACGACCGCTGCTGACAATCAACCCGCACATATTGCGTCCTTTGCTCAGGCCACGATCAAGGACATCAAGGCTCGCCAGATCTTTGATTCGCGCGGCAAGCCGACCGTGGAGGTCGACCTGATCACATCTGCGGGCACCTTCCGCGCCGCCGTGCCCAGCGGCAAGTCAACTGGTGAGCATACACCCCTCCCCTGGACTACCTACCCTCCCCCCTTCCCATGTAGAAACTCAGGATGTGGATGAATGCTGCAACCTGCACGGACCTTGCGTGCTCGCATAGCTGCTGCGTGCCGTACCCAAGCTCCCTCGTCAATCGTGAAGGCGCCTGGTGCGCCTCGCTCTGCACCTGGGCCAACGCCGCATTGCTCGCACGCCCCTGACCCCACCCTCCCTCTCATCCCAGGCGTTCATGAGGCCTGCGAGCTGCGTGATGGCGACAAGTCCCTGTGAGCATGCTCAAGAAGTTGCAGCAGGGTGCTCGCCTGCTGGTGTGCAGCCGAAGAGACAGTTGCTTCCGCCTGGTTGCCTGACAATATGCTGAGGTAGCATCTGCTTCCGCGTCCTCAGCACATGCCCCTTCACCCCCGCACCGCGTGGTCACCCGTTGACGCCGTAGCTACAAGGGCGCGAGCGTCTTCAAGGCCGTGGCAAACGTCAACGATGTCATCAAGCCCGCACTGCTGGTGCGCTGCTCCACCTTTTGGCTAGGTCCCTGAATCGGTGGGGGCCGCAGCCTGCCCAGACGCTAAAGCGCTCCCACCTTGCAGCATCAGACGTCTGCATACTGCCATATAAAGGCGGTGTTTTGTTCAAGTCGGGCAATTTGAAGCAAGAGATTTCGCCCTTTTGCGCCACCTAGCCAGCTGCCTTTCATAATCGAGACAAATCAAGGGCACCAATTCCTCCTCAACCCTGAGATTCTGCAACCCGTGCCGCCCCAAACCCAGGGCATGGACGCGGCCGACCAGGCTGCCATTGATGAGAAGATGATCGCCCTGGACGCCACTGAGAACAAGAGCGCGCTCGGCGCCAACGCAATCCTCGCGGTCTCAATGGCGGCATGCAGGGTGCGCCACCTGCCCGCGCCACGTCTTGCTCATGCTGCGCGACCAGGGATCTTTGCAAATTGCGAGTTTGCAGATCTGGAAGTGCGTCAGCCCCGCTTCTGACACCTGCTTCTCGTTTCAACACACGCTCGCGCCCGCCCAGGCCGGTGCTGCGTCCAAGGGCGTCCCGCTGTACCGCCACATCGCCGACCTGGCAGGCAACCAGCGGCCGATGCTGCCCGTGCCGTCCTTCAACGTCATCAACGGCGGCGTGCACGCGGGCAACGTTCTGGCGCCCCAGGAGTTCATGATCCTCCCGGTTGGGTGCGCGGGAGGCCAAAGACACCATAAGCGCAACTGTTTGCGGGGCTGTGAACAGCGGGCATGGTCATTCTATGGTGCAGCGGCAGCGTTTCCTTGTTAGTTACCACGCATTTTGTTCCGCCAGGGCACCAGTGTATCCGGATTGCATCTCCTTGTGCCCCTATGGTCATTATGCTGACTGTGCATGCCTGCAACGCCCCGCACCCTCAGGGCCGGCTCTTTTGCGGAGGCCATGCGCATGGGCACAGACACTTACCACACCCTCAAGGTGCGCGGGCTGGGGGCCCTGGTTTAAGGAGGTCAGAGGGCCTCCTGCGCGACTGCTAGGGGCGCTCTCTGGTATCCTGTGGCGGCTTTGGCCCCTGCCAAGCCGCACACAGTGCATTCACAATCACTTCCATGGGTTTCACAGTGGTTTCCTTTGCGTATGTAGGTTTTGAATGTACGTGTGCTGTCGCTCCAGCGACACATCGTTTGACCAACTAACACGCATAAGCACCCAATAACAAACTCATGCAGGAGCTGATTGTGGAGAAGTACGGCCTGGACGCCGCCAACGTGGGCGACGAGGGCGGCTTCGCCCCGCCCTGCGACAGCTTCGAAGCCGCCCTGGACCTGCTGACGGCCGCCATAGGCAAGGCCGGCTACGAGGGCAAGGTCAAGGTGCGCCAGCGGGGCGCTTTGGGGCGGAGGCGCCTTTGGTTGCTCTCGATTTGCGCACGTGACTACACAGCCGGGCGCAGCCACCACGTAGCTGGGCCTGCGTTGCAGATAGGTTGCCCCATTCTCCAGCTCGAGTTGGTCGGCCAACAAATAAACCCTCGGGCCGTTGGTCTTCGGCCCTCCCTGGACCTCACTCAGATTGGAATGGATCCGGCCAGCTCAGAGTTCTACAGGGAGAAGGATTCTGTCTACGACCTGAGGTTCAAGTGCAAGCCAAATGACGGCTCGGGGGAGCGCACCAGGTGAGGGGCAGGCGAGGCGGAGGTCCACGATACGCCTGCCAGTGCCAGACAGAGGGAAAGCTGCTAATCCAGCCGAGGTCTGGTGTCTTTGGACCGGGCGTGGGGTAGCTGGCTGCTGCCTCGAACAGCCGTCTCCTGCGTGGACTTTTTCCCATCAGCCATGAGCCGCCCCGCGAAACCAACCCGTACCCAATCAGCGATGCCATGATTGAGCTGTACAAGTCACTGGTGGACAAGTACCCGGTGAGCCGCCTGGGTTTTCTAAACCTGGCGCGCGCTTGCGCTCTCACCCCTCCTTGAAATCATTTTCTGCAGCTTCCAGCCCTGCCTGCCTGCCTGCCTACGTGACTGCCTGCCTGCCTGCCTGCCTGCCTGCCTGCCTGCCTCTTGCCGACCTTTGCTCACGCCCCTTATTTACCGCCCATCTCCCTTTCAGATCATCTTCATTGAGGACCCCCTGGTGCGTCAGCAGCGCCATTCTGCTTTGCGTACTGAAGAGTAGCGTGCGGGGCGGGTGATTGAAATCCAGCATGATTGCATTCGAGTTGAGTTGGGAGGGAAGCGCGCATTGAAAGCAGGGCTCACGCACGCCCATGCACCATGACACACTGCGTGAGACCGCCTTGTGATCGTGCCTTGCTCCCCGTGTCTGGCTGTGTGCCCTCCTCAGGCCGAGGACGACTGGGAGGGCTTTGGCAAGATCACCTCCCAAATTGGGAAGGCGTACGAGGTTGGTGGCACTGGGCTGCGGTGCTCGCACGCCCACCGCTCCCCCAGCCAAAGTTTACCCCAGCAGCATCCGCAGCTGTATGTGCTTGCTGTTGGTATACCTCACCCTCTTTTCCGGCATTGCACTCTCATCAGCCCGACTTATCCTCCAGCTCCCGCCATTCTCTACCTCGAATTGACCAGATCATCGGGGATGACCTGCTGTGCACCAACCCTAAGCGCATCCAGCGCGCCATTGAGGCCAAGTCCTGCAATGCCCTGCTGCTTAAGGTCAACCAGGTGGGGGCATCAGCAGGCCCTTCTGCTGTGGCAGGTTCAATGCTCATACTCTGGGGTGCAGGGCCGCACGGCAGTCTTTGGCGGCACATACATCTCCTTGGTTGCCCCTGCTGAAACACCGTACCTAACATCCAAAAAGGACCGCTTTCCTGCCATCCTCTGCTAGGGTGGCCCCTGCTGCACCGGCCTTTAACTCACAATCGCCGCCCACCATATCAAGGCGCTGCCAACCTTTTGATCAAATCTGTGCTTGCCCTTGCTCATCCAACCAACGTACCCAGATCGGCTCTATCACAGAGTCCATCAAGGCCGTCAAGATGGCCAAGGCCGCCGGGTGGGGGGTGCTCACCAGCCACAGGTTAGGATGGGTGGCTGTCTCCGGGGCTGCTGCACTGCATGTCGAAACCTGTGCAGGCGTACAGGTTCCAGCAGCAGCTGTGCAAGGACGCGTGTGCAGCTTGACTGCGATAATTTGTGGGCACCGCCGGCGCCTTTGCGTGGGACCTCTGTGGCAGTGTTTAAATGTGACCAACAGCCGTTCGCTCATTTGCACATCTGCCCTGCTTCCCAGGTCTGGTGAGACTGAAGACACGTTCATCGCCGACATCAGCGTGGGCCTCTCCACGGGTCACATCAAGTCGGGCGCCCCCTGCAGGTGTGGTTGGCCTGAAGCTCATCGCTACAGCGATTTCTTGCTAATTCCTGCCAGGCACCGTACGCCTGCATGCGCAGAGGTTTGAACCACCAGGGCAAGAGTGGAGCGCCACAGCAGTAGTGAATGCACGCACTATGACTATGACCACCCCTGAGCACGCAGCGAACGCCTCGCATCTGCTCCACAGGTCGGAGCGCATGGCCAAATACAACCAATTGCTCAGAATTGAGGAGGTAAGTGGGCGCGGAGCAATGGATGCCATTGCTCGGCAGGATGCGTGATGACGGACACAGCGTGCTGTTTACATGTTTAAGGGAGAAAGACCATGTGTCGCCGCCTCACATGACGCTGCTCTTAGGGCAGCAGCTAGCCCTCTGCCAAGTGCCAACCAGTCGCTGCAGAGTGAACACATGCCATCACATGCACTCGGACATGCAAACAGGTACATACCCACGTGCGCGCACACACACACACACTACACACACACATATCCACTCACACACACAAACACTGGCCCATCTTGCAGGACTTGGGACAGGAGGCCACCTACGCCGCTGGAAACTGGCGCTACATCGCAATGGAGTGATCAACATCGCAAATACTGTGAGGCAGGCGAACGCTGCTGCGCCATCAGTCTTCGCAGTGTGCAGCACCAGAGCCAACACCTTCTGGAGGCTGCCTGGCCCCTTGATGCCCCCGTCTGGTGCCAGTGCCAGGCGCCGGTTTCATTGGACACGAATCCTCCTGCTGCAGGAGAGTCGCATGTGCTCAAGCACTGGCTGGTCCTGGCGTGCGGTTTGTTCGTGTGTCAGCGTGTGCCACAAGCTTGCAGGGCATTTTCAAAGTGTCCAACAGGCGCCATGCACATCAGTTGAAAACGTCACCTCTGCAGCTTCCCACAAAATGGTTGCCTCCTCCGTCCGGACTGCATCCCCAAACACTGGCTGCTGCCATCTCCTGTCTTGGGGCAATCCCTGCCCATGAAGGTCTGCTCGTGCCTGCGCGTCTGCTGTTAACGGGTTGTGCGGCAAAACTCTGTCGTTGTCGTTGGGCACCAACTTTGAAAGGTCCCCTTTCACCTGCACTATTGTGCCTACCGTTGTAACAACCACATCACCACAAACATGGAAACCTGCACGATTGCAGGTTTCAGCCCAGGGTTGGGTGAGGTCACACATTTTGAATGGCCAAGCAGCCCAGCCTGGCAGCTTCGCAGCTGGCAAACCCCGTTGCAAGGATGAGCTCCACCAGCCCTTTGAAATCTGAAAGTTCAAGAACCACGTAATGCCAATGTGTGCTGATGCGCGCTCCCTCACGTCCGGCCTGCTGTGCCCATCGGGCAGCCCCTGATATTGGAATTCCCCCATAAATCCTCCTTGCACCCTCAAACAATGAGCCCTGCGCTCCAGCACTATGCTGCCGGAGCAGGCGGCATGATATGCAGGAGGCTGCAGTTGGGCTGCAGACAGGTTGCGAGCGCATGATGTACAGGCGGGGTGCTGAAGTACACTCACAGCGCTGTTGTCACGTGGTCGTTCCAACACTGCTGCTGCAGCGGATTTTGCCCAGGGTTGTCAACGGACCCAGCACTATAACCCTTCCTGAGGACCCGCAGCCACTGACCCCCAGCCACGACTGCATCTACAGCACTGCTGCTACGTGGCCCACCACACAGGCACACATGATCGGTACCACTCCTGGTGCAAACGGGTTCCGGCGTGCCTTCAAAGCATTGCCTCCAGTCGAGGCAGGTCGCGCCAAGGCTTGATGCAAGTACGCCCCCAAGTTCGCCACAACTTGTGTGCTCTCGAGTTACAGGCGTCCAATCGCAGTATCTGATAGGCTCCAGCCTCGTTTGATTCAATCACGGGATCTGCAACATTCAAGCAGCATTTCAATCAGACACCCTCCACTGCACCAACAAAGTCGCTCTCATCCTGCAGCCATCAATTTTACTGCATCACTCATTGAACATCAGGCCAAGCTTCTCACATATGTACCGCCCCGCTGTCGTCGCACTGGTGCCATCCACTCCGCAGCCGTTGCCGGCATCAGCGGCCCCACGCTCCCCCGCCTCGTCCGACCCCATGCCAGTTTCCGCCCCCAGCGGCGCCACCTCAGCATCGTAGTCGCAGTTGCAGAAGAAGACGACAGAGTGCCGCGCCCGCCGCCCGTCCGCGCCCCCCGGCGCAAACACGCGGTGCGGGGTCGAGCGGAACAGGCCGCCGCTCCAAAACTCGGCCAGATCCCCCAGGTTGACCAACAGCGCCCCAGGCAGCGGCGGCGCCGGCACCCAGCCAGCATCATCCCCGCCCCCCTCCCCGCCGCCGCCGCCGCTGTTCGCAGTGGCAGCCGCTGCAGATGCGGCGCCCGCGGCGCGCGGGCGCACCTCGAGGCCCGGAACGTCGTCCTGCGCGAGGAGCGTTAGGAAACCGCAGTCAGTGTGCTCCCCGCAGCCGACGACACGCCGCGCCGCACTGCTATTACTGCCGCCGTCGCCGCCGCCGCCGTCGGAGGGCGGCGCGGGCGGGTATCGCAGCAGCAGCAGCTGCGCCACGGGGTCGCGCATGCGCTGCTCGAAGAAGGCCCTGTCGAGGCCCAATGCGAGCGCCAGGCCGCGCGACAGCGCGCGGCTGACTGCGAGGGCTGATGAGAAGTAGGCTGACATGTCGGCCTCCCAGCCGGGCAGCAGGTCGGCAGAGGGCCAGGGGTTGGGGCCGTGCATCGGGGACGCGCCGCCCTCGGCGCCTGGCGGTGCGGGGTAGTGGAGGCCGTGGGCACTGTTGATCAAGCGCCATGAGTCGGTGCGGGCGTGGTGCGTGCGCATGATGGCTGAGTGAGGGACTGGCCCCGCGCAGCTAGCAGCGCACGCGCAACCAGCCTGACCTGGCCGGCGCTGCTGAATGCACGTTCCCGGAGGGCGGCCCTCCTCTCACCCAGCAAGAAGCTCTCTTTGTTGTCGGGCCCTGTGCCCCCGCGGCCAGAGCTGCTGCAGTTGTGCGCCCCGCCGACACCTGTCCAGCCGCGGTGCAGCGGCGACAGCGACGCCGCCAGTGCGCGCTTGGAGTCGTGGGGCAGGTCAAACAGCGCGACGGTCGCGCGCAGCAGCGCGTCCAGCGTGGCTGCATGCCGTGGCCTGCGCGGCACGAAAAGTGTGTCCATGGTCAAATGAGCAGCTGCGCGTCAGTCGGAACCGAGCACATACACATGCCCAGAGCGGCATTGGCAGCGCCTCAGTCACACCGCGCACCAACAATGTAAAAAAATCCCCACTCGATGCAGGCCTTGCGGATCGAGGCGGCCACCGCCGCGGTCGCTGCATCGTCGCCGCTTTCGCTGCACAACGGCGAGATGTCGATCACAGGCAAGGATTTCATGGTGTGACTACTCGAAAGGGCTGATTGAATCTGCAGCTTTTCTATAGATATACAACGCGTTTGATCGGACTGCGGTCGCAATTTGAGGTTGGAAGAGATCAAGTGCGAGGTTTGATTGCGGAAGAGTCACAGCGGTACAAAGGAGTGAATGGTTGCGGAGGGCACGACGCTTGCATGCACGCAACTCATCAAGACCAAGGGCCGCGTCACCGGAGCATCAGTCAGCATCACCAGCTGACTCTGCGTTGCGTTGCCCACTTGGACCCCACTTGGAGCCTCTACTCGATGAAACGCCTGTTGTGCACGCAGACCAAAAAGCTAGTAGGTATCATGTTTGAGAAATTTTGCCCACATGCACCTCATAATCCTCACAGGCAACCCATCATTTCCCGTCACTGTGGACCCCCCCTCCCCAAACACCCATCCGAGCGCATCCCACCCCGGACGGTGCCTGGCGAACATCACGAGGCAACAGCTGCAGAGGTCAGGCCGATGGCGCTTTGCCGGAATGCCGATGGCGCTTTGCCGGCCACAACGAAACCAATCGTTACAGCAACAGCAGGGCTGCACACCACGATAAACACAGCCGACAACGAGTTACGCGCCTCGAGCAACCAGCGCCGCTACCGCCGCCCCTGCAGCCGCTGCGCCGCCTCCTGCGCCAGCCGCTCCAAGCTGACCGGCGCCCACCGCTCCCCGACCGCGCCCGCC